CAGAAGTACAACCTGAAGCAAGTAAAATTTTAATGGTAAAAACTTTTATGGAATGTATTATTCCGACATTTTTATCTTTATTTTTGGGACCATGGAGTGATAAACATGGAAGGAAAAGTATATTAATGTTAGGATATGTTGGTTAGTATTGTATTTTTGAAAAGTTATCATTCGTTTGATTAACATTATATTTTTAACTATTGTTATTATATTTTTATGTCATAGGTATATCACTAACATACTTAATTTTCTCCATCATAACCATTTGGGATATCAGTCCATGGTTTTTATTAGTTGCATATATTCCATACTCATGTTTTGGAGGATTTTGTACAGTTTTGTTGGGTACCATCTGTTACATCACAGACATATCGAATGAGAAAGATAGGGCATTACAATTGGCTTGGATGGAAGCTTTGATTTTTCTTGGTGTCATATCTGGTTTTTTAGTAGGTCCTATTGTTTTTCGAGCGTATGGATATACAACTGTATTTGGCCTTGCTACAGTAGGTTGCATTTTACCAGGACTCTATATTTGCTTCTTCGTACCTGAGACTATATCTAATAACAATGTTGTATGTATTTATTATTTTCATTGTTACAATTTTAGAATTAATTAAGTTGATACTTTTGGTTTTCAATGAATTCAATTTACTTTTACAGACAACTTTGAACAGTTTGTTCGATCTAAATTTAGTTAAGGAACTTATTATTACGTGTACCAAGAAACGAGATGGTTTTAATCGATATATAGTTTGGTGCTGTATAATTGTGATGAATCTGTTAGTAATTGTTTTTCAAGGAGAAACAACTATTGGATATCTATTTACAAGTGCCCGACTTGGCTGGGATGTAGACAAATATTCTATTTATGTAGCAATTAGGTTACTTCTCATAACTTTTGGAATAATGTTCGGAGTAAATGTTTTAACGACTTACGCAGGTGCAGTGATAACAAATATTTCGACAAATAAATACAGGATAATAAGTAAATCTTTGAAAATAAAATAACTATTTTAGGATTATCCGAAGAGACAGTGGCTATATTGTCAGTATTTTCATTTTTATCTTCTTCGTTAGTTCAAAGTTTAACATGGAAACCATGGCACATGTATATATCAGCAGGGATTGGTACATTCAGTGGTGTTGCTAGTCCAATGTTGCGGGCTATATTATCTAAATCTGTGCCTTCAAAAGATACCGGTAAAAATTATGACAAAATTTTCAAATTATTTTGTATCGTTAAATTTTATAATCTGCACTAAATGTTAGTTCACTTGATATTATAACCATAAGTTCATAGTTATATATTTTTGCAGGTAAAGTATTTTCTTTGACAGTATCTATAGAAACATTAACACCAGCTGCAGCAGCTGCATTATATGGGATGATTTATTCGTACTTTATGCCACCTATCTATCCTCTACCAGTTTATCTAGTATCTGTAGCAATTTGTGTTATTACGATACTGTTCTTGATAAACATACGAATCCAAAATAAAACTGTTAATTGCGCGGTATATGAACCTTTGACACAAGATAATGAATAATCGTGGGTTCTTATCGATATTTACGAAAAATGTGATGGAAAAGACGCACAAAAAACTACAAATATACAATAGTAAATGAGATTTTATTTCTTGAATCTACGATTAATGAATACTTATTTATGTATATTTTATATGCTTTTACAATGTAATATTAACACAAAATAAAATATGAAATTTTAATTAACTATGTTGAATAGTTCAATAAAAATGTTATTTATATAAAATATCTCAATTTAGCGAGTACCGGAATGTAAATAATTTAGAACAATAGATTCAGATATATTTTACAATTCGTCATAATAATCAACATGATCACCTGATGTATACTTCTGATTCTTAAGGACGTTTAAAAGCCGATTAACTGTTTGTTCACATGTTAACACGGTTTTCTTTGTTAACATATCATTAAATGAAGCTTTAATGTCTTGATCCCCATGTGTTCTACACACTTCGTATAACATATCAGTTTCAACTGGTCCTGGCGAGTAATTTAATACATTCACTTCAGGATTTTCTACAGCGAACACCTAGATAATACCAACATAAAAAGTAAATAACTATTCGATAATTAACGAGAAGTAACTAAATTAATGCATAAACTTATTACCTTAAAGAACATTTCTCTTGCTGCTTTACCAGAACAATAATAAGCTGTAGATTTATATGGTTGAGTAGCAAGTAATGAAGTAATGTTTATAACTGTCTTGTTATCGTCTGGGACTTCATTAAATATTTTCATAATAACTGCATTCAATATAGCAGGAACAAAGACATTTAAATCATAATAATTACGCCACATGGTAATATCAGTCATGTCATTTGTAACTTTAGTAAGATCCCCCATTGTACCAACATTATGTACTACAACCATTTTATCAAATTGTTCTGGTGTTTTATCCTTCATAGATTGCATTATAATACCTAAAATGTATGCGATTCAGTAACATAATTGAAAAGGATCAAATATATATATATTATGTTTTTAATATTTACCATGCAATTCATCTTTTGTTGCTTTGCTTAAATCAACGCTGACAGTGTCAACGGATACATGAGAAGGAATATTTTTAGCAGTGTCTTTTAAAGCAGTCAAGTTTGTTGCCAGCAGTAGAACATGCGAATCCTTTTCTAATACAGAACCAAATAGTATTGCAATATGCCTCCCAATTCCACGACTTGCGCCAGTTATCACCAGAAACACTTTCCCTGATAATGCCTTTATCGTCATATTTTCTTAAAAGGAAACTTTTCTAATTATTCGATCTATAAATTCAGTTTTGTTTATTTGCAAATGATTTTTCTACAGTTTCTTTTTCTTGTTCAGTTTCAAGGATTATTTGAAGAATGTCCGCTTTTAGAAGATGAATGGATTCGCTGGTAGTTATAGCCTAAAAGGATGTTTATCGTTGTTTTACACAAAATAGCTAAATCTCCAAATAACTGCATCTCGCGAGTATTGTTATAATTACCTGTAAATGAGGAGCTATGTGTCTTATCAAAGGGTTCGAAGCTAATTCTGTCTCCTCTTCTGATTCAAGCTTATAACCAGAAGTTATTAATCGAGCAATACAGTCCTCTTTCACTTCTACTAAAGATGTTATTAAATCTTTTTTTGATGTACCTTTCTGAAGACTATTAAGTCTAGCATCTACAACATATTACAAAATCATTATATAGTATCGTTATTCACACAAATGAAACATAAGTTAAATTCTTGTATATGTTTGTAAATGTGAAAGGAACCATATGGCATTATTGTTGTATGTAATGGTTTCAAAAGGAGCGTACCATAGAAATTACTTACAAAGTTTCTTCAAATATTCGTCGGAATCGGCAAGTTTTGAGTGCTCTGACTGATACTCGACAAAAGAATCTTCAAAATTATCGATACATTTATTGCTATCAATATCTCGGGCATCTGTCCCGCACCACGGATCAGCGATGTCTGTTTTCATATTTGTATCCACGATTTTTTCCTGGTGATACTTTCAAGGTTTTATCAATCCTTGTTACATAAATACTATGTAACAGGCAATACCTCGGCAAAACTTATCTCTCTCTCTCGTCTTATATATTCGTACAAAAGAAAAGGTTATTTCTTGGCTAGCCCATTGCTTACTGGCTATCATACACTGGCATTTATGCACATGTGTAAATGTATTTACACAAATCGCATGTATCGTATGTATCCGAAATAGATATGTACCACGTACTATTTACGTGCACAATTGATATGCACAGAAATTTATGAAGTATTGAACAAAATTCGAATTTCTTAAAAGATAAATTTTTAATAATTAATTTATATTCTTATATAAAAAAATTAGTTAGATTGAACATTCTTCTCATTCTATTATCTCACGTGAACAAAATATATAGTACATAATTGTAGTAAAAAATGTAATATGTATGAGAGTTAAATTACACACAATGATACAACTTATATATATGTACAGAAGTAATTAGCAGATATATAATGTGACAATAAAATATCAACAATGCGAGGAAACTCTTTACGATTAATTTATTATGAATATACAAATTTACGTACTTT